GCATGTGCCAGGCTAATCACAGTCACACCGTTTCCATTTGCTCAAGGAAGATGGGCATATAGGTATGCGTATACATATATTTTGCAGGGTCATTTTGAGTTGAGGCAGTCTCTTGCTGTGGTGGGTCCTCGGACTGATCTGTTGAAGGTGTCTGGTTTTACCAAAGGCAGTAATCCCTCGGAATGCCACATCTGGCAGAACAGCCAAGGGTTGGGGTTGGGTGACCAGGGAGCTGTTTTCCTGACCAATGAATAGATTACTGTCACCTTTTTAGGCTTTAGCTCCTGGGGCAGTTTGGTCACCCAGAGGCTCTGACAGTGTTCTCTGTTAAGATTCTCTGGAAAGCATCGACAGACTTGCAGTTTTAGAAATGTGTTTTCTCAACAAATGTTAATATCTTTCTTTTTCCTCGAGTAAGTGGAAAATGCTTTGTCATCTTAGGGAGATATGAGTAGTCATCTGCGTCTTTCTAAGAACTGGGCAGAAATGTTCCTTTGGGTCTTCATTGCCACTTCTGCCTTCTGCTGGCTGTCACAGAGAAAGTGATAGCCAGGCACCGTCTCTAGCGTAAGACTTCTGTGTCTTCCTCAGAAGTCTGGGACATATTGCTACTTTATGAAATCATACTTTTGTATGCGGCTTGCAAAACCATCCACTTTTACATGCCCTTTCTTGGTGCTGGCCCCCCAGAAAAGACTCACTCCCTCATCTTGGTGTCTCTGGGAAGAGCTGTTTCGGGTGTAGGACTGAGCCTTCCCTCCCTGCAGCGAGCCAGGGCCACAGTGTGGGATGGTGAGGAAGGCACAGAGCTGGCACTTTGAGCACACGAGCATTTTGCCTTCAGGGTGTCTAATTCCCCTCTGAAGAAGCGGAGATGTAAAAGCCATCAGACCATGAACCTTGGTTGCCATCAACCCATATCTCCCTCAGCACAGCCCCGCTCCTCCTTCTGTGCAATGCCAGACTCCACCTCCAACTCTCCTGGCTGTCGTTATACCTCAAAATGACTACGTACACACAAAATTACTACAGACACACATCTCTTCTTTAAAAATAGTTACTTTTATATACATTGCACAAACTATTCAGTAAATACGACACTCTGGTTTCAGGATGAGTCTCTCTTTTAGTAGTTTACAAATTCTGAAACCCTTGACACCATTGCTCTTGTCTCGGTCTGAATCCAGAGAACACCCCCTGCAAGCCACTCTCCTCTTGGGCCCCAGCCTCCTCTCCATCTGCTGCCTCCAGCTTGGTGCCCTCTGCTTCTTGTGTTCACCCGCCTCGTCTCCAGCGGGTGCTCCCTGAGCCTCCCAGGAGGCTGTTTCTGGGAGGGATGAGCATCACGATTAGTTCCCGTGACCCATGCGCGAGCACTGGGGTATCCCGGGGCAAAACACGACAGCTCTGAAGATCGCGAGGGATGCTTTCTCCACGTGCACGCTGCTGCTTGGGGGCCTTGGAGGCAGCTGCCAGCTTGTTGAAAGCTGTCGGCTGCCTTTGCCTTGCTCGTGCAGGCTTCGTTCACACCTCCGTGCCCGGGGGTGTGGATTAACGAGCGCGCTGTATTCCTCACATGCACTTTGAGGGCTCCTCTGAGCTGTCACGCGTGGGTGGGTGCAAGATCAAGAAAGACATGAGCAATTCAGGACTCCCTCAGGCTCCCGGAATAGCGCTGAGGAGTTAGCTGAGGTGCCCAGGGTAGGTGTCTGCTGTGGGTGGTTGAACGGACCCGGGTTGTTAAGGCCATGGTGCGTGGGGCTGATTGCAAGAGGCTCGAGCAGTGCATGGGCTGGATGGTGCTCCCCGTATGACCCTGCACGGCGTGTCCTTCGGCAAGAAACCCCGAGGCGGCGGAGCTGCTGCCAGTGCCATAGGGCCAGATGGGGCTTGTAGCCAAGAGGGGCTGAGGAGGCTCAAGTAATTTTGGGTGACCCCGTTGCAGGTCTCCCCGCTCCTGGCCCCTGTTTCTGCTGGCTGGGGACACTGCAACCCTGTGTCTCTCTGACATTCATGTCTGTCCTCACAAATTCAGTACATAAATGCTGTGGGGTGAGCTGCATCTCTGACCTGAGGCTTTTCCCTTGGGCTGCCCTGTAGGCACCAGAGGTCCGGGCAGGAGGAACCCATACCCTCGTTGTTCATGCAACAGTGCGTGTCCAGAGCTGATCAGAGCAATCTAAATGTCATCAGTGGTGTGGGCTCTATCTCCTTCAGGTCCGGTGGGAGACGAGCCCCCAGGCTGCAGAGGAGATGTCTCCTTGCAGGGGCAGATCCTGCCCTGGGGCTGTCAGGGTGATTGCAGGGGGACACGGCGTCTCTGGACAGGCATCTCCAGAGATGGGCAGGTATTGGAGGCACAGAGAAAAAGCACCTATTCTCCTAAGAGGGACATATCTGCTAAGCCTCATGTCCCAACTAAATGAGAGTTTAATGAAATAGTTATAAAAATCTTATAGTGATACATATTTTTTTCCATTCTCAGCTCTGGGAATAGCTGATCCATTCTAGTTGCAGCTCTCAGAAAACTTTCACTGAAACAGTCAGCATGTGAAATTCCAGCCCCTAAAGGCAACATTTTAATTGGCTATAATGGGGCCGGTGATTGAATTTAACTAGCTGCCAGTAGTCATAATGAACAGTGATTAAATACCTTACCAAAAAAGTGAACCAAGCTACCTGAATGTAATCTATGCCCTTTTCACACCTCCTCCTTCATGGTTTTCCCTTTCTTATTTTGCAAAACAGCACATTTGGATTTGGAAAGCTTGTGGGGGGTTTTGACAGCATAGAAAAGGGAATAAAGAACATGTTGCCACTATTACAATTTCAGCTATTATCATCGCAAAGAACTGTAATAGACACGAAGACAAAATGTTCTTATAAAAATATTTATTTCTCAAAATTTGAATTAAATATTACATCAAAACCACAATTAATTAAATACAGAAAACATAACCTAAGCATGAATCTTCATTTAAAAAAATATATCTATTAAATAATATTCTTATTTGTCTGGAGTGGAGTTATTGCACCTGATCCCTCCGATATAAAAATTAAGTAGCAAAACACTAAAGTCAGATTCTGGAACATTTTCACTTTCCTAACTAGCTTTAAGTGACATTGAAGCATTTCCAATGGAGCCCGCAGCTGGCCGTGGCTCGCTCGTCCCAGCAGCCGGGGCACGCGGGGCAGCAGGGTCTGTCCCGGGACCTCAGTTCAGCTCCAGGTCGTTCACGTACTGCTGGACCCAGTCCTGCTCGGGGTTGGCGCAGACTTGGCGACCCTTCTTCGTGACGAACCTGTGGGGTGCAAAGAGGTCTAGTTTTGGTGGGAGAGCAATGCATGGAGGGGAACCCTGCCCAAAACGCAGCCTCTCCCAAGGATCAGCAGAATTTGGGCATGCAGCACATCGCGCCCATCACGCAGGCGGTAATGGAGCAGGACCCTGTGTGCTGAACCCATGGATCATCACCTTGCACCTCTTGGCCCCCCATCCCTCCTGTCCCTGGGGCCAGCCTCCATCCCCTGTCTTTTGCAAAGGGGTCTCTCTGGATCCTCAGCCCAAAGGGAAAGCCCACCACCACCCCAGAGGAGAGGACTTACACGACGGCTGGCTGGGGGCACTGGCTGTTGGTCTCATAGTACTCCACCACGAAGTTGCGGGGCAGCTGTCGGGAGGTGTAGGAGAAGCAGCAGAAGGTCGGTGGGTCGGAGTCAACTGTGAAGGGCAAAGATGGTCATCAGCAGTGGCGAGGGATGGGGAGCAGGGGCAGGGAGCTGGGCTGCAGACCCCCAGGTTTGGGGTGTGGGGTGTGGGGAGGATGTGGAGGAGGAAGAGAAAAGCTGGGGTCTGTTTTCTTCTTCTTTTGATTCTTTCCCTTTTGGGTCCACCCTGAACTGGTGCTGACACAGCCCATGCCGTGCGTCGAGCTATGCCTTTCCCATGGCAAGAGAGCCCCAATGGCCCTGGAGCTCCTGCCAGAGGGTGGTCTGACAGGGGAAGGGAGCCGTGGGTGGAAGGTCTGTCAGAAGGGACCCTGTCCCAGCAGTGACACCTCTCCTGTCCCCACTTAGAGATGAAGGTGAAAGCCCAGACTTACTTGGCGCAGCAGAGGTCTGGTAGCAGAAGGCAGCGATGAGAATGGCAAGGGCAGCCACAGAGACCTTCATGTCAGCTGAGAAGTGGTGGCCGGAGCTGAAGCAGGCAAGTGGAGCTTGAAAGCCTCTCCTCTCTCTGGTGCTGAGACAGTCAGCAAGTCCCCAATTTATGGGGTGAGGAGGTCTGTGCAGCGGCTTGCGTAGGCATGATGGAATTTCCCCCCAGAGAAACTTGCTTTCTGCAGTCTCGTGGTGGAATGGAGCAGCAGCCCCAGCCCCGGAAGGGTGAAGCTCCCCCTTCAGTTCAGAGTCTCCCCAGTGACACAGGATATGAAACAGTCATGGTTGCTATTTCTGCTTCTTTCATGCCTGTCCCTCAGTAAGAAGTTCCTCTGTGGAGGTTCCTGCCTTTGTCAACAGATCCCTATTGCCCAACCTGCCGAAGCAGCTTGGAGGCAAGAGAGCAGCCTTCCAAGAGCTGTGCAAATGGGCTGAAGAGCATGGATGGGATGAGGCCGGTTAGGGAAAAAGGGGTTGAAGTCTCTTCTGCCCTGGACTGTTTCCCTCCCATGTCTGCACAGCCCGTGCTGCCCCAGTAGCAGGAGATGAGAGCCATCACCAGTGGGCTCCATGTCCTGTACGAGCTGCACAGAGTCTGAGGGGGCTCAGGACATGTCCTGCAGCCGTGACAGCACTGCAGGCACCAGCACAGGGAGTGGTGGGCATGAAAGAAGAGTCCCAGAAGCACTTGAGTTTCCTCCTCAGTTTCAGGGAAGGAAGAGCTGAGATGGGGCGTTATCTCCTGGAGGTCCTATGAGGAGACCCTAGGTGACCAATTTAGGTTAGACACGTAAATTTCAATGGCTACTGATAGGTGAGGTGAGGCCTACCGTTGCTGGTCATGGAGACGCAGAGAGCCAAACGAAGTATGGGGACGTTGGCTGTGACCCTGAAGATGAGGCAGGAGGGCCTCCAGGAGCAGGGTGCGGAAGAAGACACTGCTCCTGAGGACCAGGGGCAGGTTAACTGGGGACGAGGGCAGAACCTGCATTTTTCTGGGGAGAGAAGAGTATCTGGTCTCAGCAGAGAAGGTAAAATTGTAATGACCATGTTGTATGGGAGAGAGTAAGAGCTCACAGGTCTCTGAGGGCTGGGTAAGAGCTGCGTCCAGAGATGGCTCACTGGGAAGAAGTCACCAGGCTACATACAGGCCAAACTCCTCTCTGTTCCCAAGGAGGAGAGGGAAGGGCTGGCAGGGAGGTGATGGATGCTCTGGGAAGAGCTGAGGGCTGTCCATTCATAATGAGATGTTCCTAGAAGGACATCTCAACAGGGAAGCGGGTGCATTTCTGGAAAATGTCTCAATTTCATTATTTTCAAGTCATCAACAAGTGGTGATGTCTTGGCAGATGCTGCCTGAAAGTGAGTGGAAGTACTATAACGTAAAGTGGAGCAACCCAACCGCACCACCAGCACCTCTGCGCCCCTGCCACAGCGCTGGGCAATGACTCACCACGTTTCTATTAAAAGTTCCCAGCTATCAACCGAGGCACATTCTGTAAATAACCTCGTGTTTTCCAAATATGACTCCAACACTGCACGGTGCGCGCAGCATCCACCAGCCGTGGGCTGCCCTGCCTCCCCTTCTAGCAGCCGCTCCGTGCAGGTGACCTGCTCTGCTCCGTGCAGGCAGAGAGGGGTCTGGAGGACAAGACGCTCCTGGACTTGCACAGGAGAAGTCCCAGAGGTGACCTGCCCTCAAGGAGCCATGGTGGTACACCTGTCCCTCGCCCCGGCTGGGGAGGGCAGAGCTTCCCCACGGAGCAAATGCGGCTCTTGCCAAGCCGAGCATCACCTCCTTCCTGGCCACATCAGGGCCAAGCTGGTCCCCTCTCCATCCTTGCCTTTGCCATCTGCAGAGAGAGGCACCTCACGGGCTCACCCATCAGTTCAGACCCGCCTCCCCCCTCCACTTGTCAGCTTGCTCTCCCCCAGATATCCTGGGAGGATGAGGAGAGAGCCTGCCTCCGCAGGCAGGGCGCCCAGCCAGGCGGGAGGTGGGAACCCGGCGTTCAGCCGGACGCCAGCTGGACCAGAAATCGGCTCTGAGCTGGCGTCGGCTTCCTTGGCTCCTCTGTCTGGTTGCTCGGGGAATACAGCTTGTCGATGTACGTAAGAGCGTGGTTTGCCTCTGAGCTGTTCCCTGTGATTGTACCTTCAAGCATTCGTGGGTCATTCTTGAGATCTGCCACCTACAGCCATCTGGTCCTGTCCTGCTCCCAAGGCACACGATGTGGGTAGGGCAGGCAGGAGAAATATCATTTATGAACCAGACATGTTCCGATAAATCACAAGTTTCATTAAAACAGAAGAATTAGTCGGAAACGTGCATTGATTATTCCAAAGTTTTCAAGGAGATATTTTTCTGTTTCAGGCAACTGAAAACCTCCATGCGTTTATACCTTTGTCAGCAAGCAGATGCCAAAGTATTTTGGACTGTGAGAGACTACTTTTCAATTAAACAAAATTTTTTTCTCAATTTAGCTGAGTCAGTTTAGGATCAGCCTAGATAACATTTGTAACGGGCCAGGTAAGGGCTGAAACTTTCCAGTGCTGAAAGCCAGAAGTACCCCCAAAGTCAGGGGCCAGGTTTTTCCTTAGAAATCTGACACAAGCCCCCACTCTGCCAGCTCTTTGCAGGCTGGGTAGAGGTGGGAGGTTATAGTCATACCAGTGATGCCCTGAGACGTTGTAGCATCCTCCTAAAAAAACGTGGGTAGAGGTGGGAGGTTATAGTCATACCAGCGATGCCCTGAGACGTTGTAACATCCTCCTAAAAAAACATTCCTTACCCACTCCCCCGCATTCTATTCATGGTGAAACAAGAAAGTAATTTCTTCTAGCTCTTCCTCCTTTCAGAAAGAGGGGAACCTGCGAGTCTCGGAAATGGACCATCTAAACTGGGAGGTGCTCTGAGATGCTAACATGCTCTGAGATGGAGAGATGGCCACGGAAGAGC